ATTGTATTGTATTGTATTGTATTGTATTGTATTGTATTGTATTGTATCGTATGGTGTGTGGGAACCATCTCGCAAGGCTAACATGGTCTCAGATGGTTTTAGAAAAAATTGCACTGTCACAATATATATTTGAATACACATTTATTGCTTAAATGTGCAACTGCTTAGACCAAGAGTCCAACAGATGCTGGGATGGGCCTGCCAATTGTTGCTTTCATCCAGGATGTATTCTAAATAACATTCAAACCAAGTTTAACTCCTATGATTACTTGCTTTGATTACTGCATTCCTAAGATAATGGTTTTCAAAATTACATTTTCCATTTGAAGATTAAATAGTTACTCCTGAGTTACTTTTTCTTTTCTTTAATAAAGTGGGGTTCAAACTATCCTCAAAAGAGAAAATTAATATAGAAAAGGCTTACCGGCATCTTGATTAAGTATTATTAGTAATCATTTAGTATTCTCATTATTTTCCCAAGCTAATCAACCTCTATGTATGCTAGTATGCACGTTTTCTTCTCTTGGCTATCATAGTGCAGAAGGCTTTATTTTTTATTGAACAAAAGAAATGAGAAAACTATGGAAATTTTCCTTTGGATTGTCTATGTATTTACAGCTCCATCTGGATTAATTCATTCTGCCTCTGAAAGTTTAATATGGAAGCTTTTAATTCAAAGATGAACACATGAATGTACAATGTTCCATATACAGGGTCATGTTATCATGTTACCAAGAAATTAAACTCAGGATACAGCTACATAGCTCAAGAGAATGTGACATTTATATAGAAAGATATTTGAGATTCACTGGCTGCCATTACGTTGCGCAGACAAATTAAACATTCTGCAATTTGAAATATTCAGGTTCTGTTTATTGATGCACTTTCTTTTCTTTATTATTGATCCAGATTTCAGAAGCATGTATTATAACTTGAAAAAAACAGGACCTTGATAATACTTTGCTTACCGGTATGTTCTTCAATATTCTGTCAGTCTTTCGCCCAAGAAACCGATGCTTTTCGTTCTGTTTTTTTAATTTCATGTCCATCGTCACTCTCCCAGCTAAATTTTGAGCCTAGAAAAATAAAATCAATTATTCTTTCAACTTCTTCCACATCTGTCTATGGAGATTCTGAATTATCCAGGTCATGGTTGTTCCCAAGGTGCTTTTCCAAAAGGCAACTGGACTTTCTTGTTTTTTTTTTCCTTTAAGACATTTCACTTCTCATCCAAGAAGCGTCTTCAGTTCTGACTGAATGGTGGGAAATGGAAGCATTTTTATAAATCCCATCATTCAGTCACGCCCTTCCACTTCTGTTTCACGAGGTTGGCATTGCCTGTTTGACTCTCTCTCCCGCCCCTCCCCCCAGAAATCGGCTTGTGCATTTTCTTCTTTTACTTTCAGAAGAGATAAAAGAGTCTTCACTTCTACACATCAAAAAGGGTGTAATCAACATATCTGAGAATATTGATATTTCTCCCAGAAATTTAAATTCTATTTCTCCTAACCTAGTTTTCCTTATATATTCTGCATGCAAGGTAAATAAATAGAGTGATGGGATGTAGCTTCAGCACATTCTTGTCCCAGTTTTGATTCGTACACCTATGTTTTTAAGAGCCAATGATAGTTTGTTGTGGTGCACACAACAATTAGCATGTCTGGCAATAAAACCCATTGAATTCAGTGTGGTTGACATACAGAACTGCCCAGCCAATTATTACATTTCTGCAATATTGACCTTACTGAACTCAATGGAGAATATACTACAGGGGTGGGATACGAAAGGGTTAACTATCGGTTCGGGATTTACGAGCTTCCCTGCCCCCTGTGAGCCATGCGCCTGTAAATCGTCATAAATCTTCATTAGCACGCTGCCTGCCGAGAAGCAGCCTTTGAAACAGCCCTCTTTTCTTGTTTTTTTTAACTGCAGCTGTGCTTTGTTCAGGCAGCTGAAGTTGAAAAATCAGGAAATAAAGATCAAGTAAGAGCCCAGGTGGGTGGGTGGGCAAAAACATCAGCAGACATAGAACCGGTTCTATGTCTGCTACTCTTCAGAACTACGGTTTCTACAGAGGTGGACAGAACCGGTAGAAACCCACCCCTGATATACTAAATAGACATGTATGAGAACTGTCTGTACTTTAGGTTGGGAAAAAAAATACAGTGAGTGGCTCATTTGCAACACTAAATCTTAAATGAAATCATTACAAGGTCAATAAATAAAAAGTAATGTAATAGTAATAAAATATTTCAATCCAGTGCCTTAATATTTGCAAAGTGTCCTAGTACACATAGTCCTCACTTAACAATGGCTGTTAGGACTGGAATTTCCATTGCAAAGTGGCATCGTAAAGCATGACCTCATGTGACTGCGCCACCGTGGGAGCATAGCTTTGGGGAGCAGTCATAAGTTCCTCCATTCAGCACTCTGCTAAGTTCTTTTGGTCACTGAAATAAACAAAAATGATTGGCCATTTGATGGTTAGTTAATGGATTGTCGTTTGCTGGAATACTTCCTATATTTCATGGATGGACAAGCTTTTCTGAGACAAGGGCTACATCTGTTTGTGGGAGTTTGTGTGCCTGAAGAGGGGAAAGCAAATAATGGATGCATCAAATAAATATTCAAACTCACCTTTATTTTCATCAGTTGATTTCCTTCCCATCAACTTCTTATTCAGTTTTAAAATCATGACATTGAATTTTAACTTCCCTACTCAAAACCCTGCAACACCTATAGAGAGCCTAGATACCACAAAAGGTCTCAGCAGGGTTTATCCTGGTTAATGGGGAGAACATCCCAAGGCTTTCTAACCCTTATTCGTCATTGGATAAGTAAGGATGATTTACAACCGATGGAAAAGCACAGTAAGTGATGCTGGGGTGAACTACCGTGTTTCTCATATAATAAGGCCGGGTCTTTTTTTTTTTTTGAGCCCCGAAAAAATGGCTAGGCTGTCTTTTCGGGGGTGACTTAATTCCCCCCCCTTGCATCTTCGGGCGGGCAGTGACGGCTTGGATGTTGACCTCGGTGTTGGTGGGGCACTTCGTATCGGGGTCAACGCAGGGAGCACCATATCCGGGTGTGCAACAAAAGTACTTCCTAACGGCAAGCCCCCCCACCATTCCCCCCCATTTCGCATGTTTTAATATAGGCCTTAATTTGGGGGGAGGGGTTTAATTTCATTTCATGCCTATAAAACATGCTGGGACTTCCTATTGGGGGAGGCCGTATTGTTGGAGAAACAGGGTATATCTTTGCTTTCTTTTCTCTTTCCCATTTCAAGCCTTTAATTTAGTTGCCTTGCTGTTTCTTACTTTATTCCTGCACCATACATAATTTTTACTTACCTTGAAAGTAATCACATGGTGGCTACCTGCGTGGATGTATTTGCATGTAGGCGTATCAACCATCAGAAGGTAGAACAAACTTCTGGACAAGAGACAGGCATTTGAGTCACCTGGCCATGTTTCACCACAGAGAGTTGGATTACATTTCTTGTTCAATGATTCACAAATGGGTTATCTATCTGTAGAGCTCAGCACACGAAAACGTTGGATAGCTCTGCTCCTCCCTTTTAGCCTCAGCTAAAGAAAGAGGCACTTCTTATCCTTGATTCTTGCAGCCCTGCCTTCCCAACCGGTTCTTGCAAAGACAAGACCAAAGCTCTTTTCATCTGCCTACCTGCTGTGTCCGGGAACAGTTGCTTCGCCAAGGTTTTAATCTAGTGCCAGGGTTTTCTTGTCTTAGGCACCTTGTTTGCTCGTTCTCGCGTGTGAGCCAAGCTGCAGCAAAGGAGAAAGAACAGCTGAGGTCCATAACAGGAAAGTACCAGGAAAACAATGGAACCGGACGTGGTATATAATAGATGGCTTTTCTGGAAGGCTGCTAGTCCTTCAGCTTTTCATTTCAAAACACGTGCAGACATACAATTCTGTGCACCGTTTCTCTGAAGTAAGCCCCCTGTCATCAATGGGATCTATCCCTTGCCAAACATGCTTAGAGGTAGCCAGCAGAGGGAATTTTCTCAATATGCTAAACCAGGGGTGTCCAACCTTGGCAACTTTAAGACTTGTGGACTTCAACTCCCAGAATTCCTCAGCCAGCAAAGCTACTTTTAAAAAGAGGTAATGTTCCTTTAAGGGCTGATATCAGGAAAAAAAACATAATGCTGGGTTTCAAAAGAGAGAGAGGTTGCTTGCTTCTCCCCACCCCATCCAACCCCCATCAAACAGATGGAGATTTCTTAAGCATGCCTCAGGCTGGAGGCTGTTAGCATAATTAGGAAGGGAAAATGTCCAATATGAGACCTGTATGAAGGCCATATTAAACCACTTAGTGTGTGGTGCATCAGGAGGCTTGTATTCCTCCTTGACCTTTTAAACAAATATGTTTTGAAACCTCTTGTTGAAATCGGTAGGCAAGGGCAGATGTTTACAGATGTTAGCCAGGACATGAAATGCCATTTGGCTAATGCCATTTCCCAGCAAAGGCGCCTCGCATTTCAATTCTGCACCACATGAGAATATAAATGCAGGGATGAGAGGCTTCCAAGTCTTTCTTCAAATGAGTAAAAACATTGTGTTGTGAAAAAGATAAGAGGAAGAGAGAAGGGTGTTTCATTTTCTTTGGTTTTGTTCAAAATATTGTTTGAAGGATGCACCAGTCACACTGGGCCCATTTCATCAGATGTACCCTGTTTCTCCAACAATACGGCCTCCCCCAATAGGAAGTCCCAGCATGTTTTATAGGCATGAAATGAAATTAAGCCCCTCTCCCCCAAATTAAGGCCTATATTAAAACATGCAAAATGGGGGGGAATGGTGGGGGGGGCTTGCCATTAGGAAGTACTTTTGTTGCACACCTGGATATGGTGCTGCCTACGTTGACCCCGATACGAAGTGCCCCACCAACGCCGAGGTCAACATCCAAGCCGTCGCCGCCCGCCCACCCAAAGATGCAAGGGGGGAGAATTAAGTCACCCCCGAAAAGACGCCCTAGCCATTTTTTCAGGGTTCAAAACAAAATAAGACCCAGCCTTATTATATGAGAAACACGGTAGTTTTGGGTAACTAGACTCAAATTTGCATGCACAGGATTCTGAGAAGTTGACCGCAGTGTTACCAGATGTGATTTTCACATCTGTAGACATCATGACGCACATTAGAAGGAATCTTTGGTTTCGCTCTGCCTGTGTCCCAAATCATGCAGTTATATACACATATATGAATATATACATGCATATGTTCACCCAAAGGGGCATATTTGTACTGACTTTTTCAAATGCAGACATTTTACAAGCCTCTTTTCCCTAATGAAATAAGTGTTGGTGTACATTTAACACTTGGGGAGACAGATCAGCCTCAAAAGAGAAATAAAATCAATCTTTACTGAGAGGGAGGGAGGGAGGGAGGGAGGGAGAGAGAAAGAGAGAGAGAGAGAGAGAGAGAGAATGCAAGGAAGCCTTTCTTTGCTATAAGTAATCATATGTAAAAACATTTGGTGGCAAAGGAAATAATAGAGTGTAGGAAGTTAGCACCCACCCTTCTCCTAGAAAAATGAAATATCTTAAGAAATGTTTAAAAGGCAGACTATGTCCCCTATAAAGAGAAGTAGAAACTTAGAAATAGAAACTCACCTCAGAAGCAGAACCTCACCCCCCACCATTAAAGGCCATTAAGGCCTGGGCCAGAATATTCTACATAACAAAGGCCTCCACCCATCTCACCACCTGGCTTGGGAAGATTGCATCAGCCAGCACTCAGTTGAAGCCATGTGGTCCAGACAAAGCCTACAAAGTTAGCTAAAACCCCTGACCCTGGCAGTCTGACACCCAATGAGATACATTTCTTAACACAGGAACAGGAAACACTAAGGTGGGGCCCAACAGAGGGTATAAAACAATCAGCATCTTGCCCCTTTTTCCTTCTGTTCCTTCACCCAACATCTTGAAGCATGTGATCGTCCTTTTCACTTTGGCGCTCCAAGCCATGTGATCCTGTCCACCATTAAACCACCTTTCCAAACAGCCTCCATGTTTCCAGTGTCTTTTTCCCCACTTGGAACTGAACCCAGAAGGATATTTCTTCCAACAAGAGATCATGACTAAGAAGGTCATTGCCTTCTTCCTTCCTAACAACGCCTGCTGCCTAATCATGACTTGTTCTTCTGGATTCTTGGGAAAGGAAAGGATTAGTTCTCCATCTGACCACATGGGACTCATCCAGGAAGGAAAATGCTCTCATCTCTGCAGGAGATCCACATCCGTTCCAGAACCGGTCCAATCTTTCTGGGCTAGCTGAATATGTTTTAAGAAGCAGATTAATATTCCCATCTAGTTAATTTGTACTTTCCTAAGAGTTATGAATGATTTTGCTTTAAAAAAAACCAAACAAATTTCAAAGCAATAGACCTGAAAAAAAAATAGCATGGCTTGCAGCTCAATTGAACAGGGGCAATAAATAATTCAAGATTGTATTTCACAATACAGATTTTAATCCATTCAACTGCAATTTTGGAAAACAATAGGACGAAAGTGACGTTGCTGATCAAAAGCTTTTTGCCTCTTTCCTTCCCTCCTTACACCCACATTAAAAAGATGATTTTTGTTTGTTCTGTATCCTGATGTGACGGATAGAATCCAATAGTTAAATTACAATGATCTGGAATGAATAGCAGTACATAGTAAACAAAACAAAAAAATCCATAAACAACCTGCTTAAAAATCTAGTTGGCAAAAACATTTCAAGTTCCAGAAGCAGAGGTGGGATTCAAATTTCTTAACAACCGGTTCTGTGGGCATGCCCTACTTTGTGGGTGTGGCTTGGTGGTCATGTGACTGGGTGGTCATAGCTTGCTGACTGGGCGTGGCTTGATGGTCATGTGACTGGCTGGAACCTCTGGAAGTAAACGGTTCCACTGATAAATTTTTTCACAGTTAGGAAACTTCTTAGTACTAAGTTGGATCTTTCTTTAACGATTTCCCACCCATTACTACTTGTCCTGCCCTCCTGAATAAGATTAGACAAACCTACTTTGAATCACTCAGAACTCCAGCCCTGGGTGTCATCAGAATATTTACTGCCAAATCCAGAAGTAGCTAATTGCTCTTATTAAGGAGAAAATGCTGGTGTCCAAATGCTACTGATTATCTTTTTTTTTTTTTTTGCCCCTGCTCATAAGATGCTTAAAAAACCCTTGATAACCAGCTTTTATAGATATCCAAGTCAGATATTACTTTGAATCTATTCTCTTGTTGGAACCCTCAGGGTAAACTTATCACCTGGAAAACATTTTACATGGACAATTTGACTTTCAAGCGGAGTGTCAGAATATACCCTAGATGAAAATCTAAAATAAATTAGATGGCATGCAGCCTTTCCAGTGCAGGGATTTATTGTTCCCACACTACAGTAATTTTGAAAACCGTTTTCCTTAAGCTACCAAGATGTGAGATATTATTAATTGCCTGAACTTTTAAGAATATCCTGTTTGGTTGATATAAATTGCAGGAGTTGGGATTCATTTCTAAGGAATAACAAGCTTATCACAACAACTGAAACTGCTGGGTTAATTTCCTTGCAGGACCCAAAAGCACTTATATCACCCTTATCCCCAATGCAGGTTGGCATTTCAGTTCAGTTTTTTAAAAAGGGAGAATTTAGCCAAGCCCCTACTAATACAGTGGTTCTGGGCCTCAGGGAAGCCTCCTGGGCAAAGCAATACAACAGCGATGGGGGTGGAATCAGCTGTGCCGCGTGATTTAGATTAGCTAAAAAGCAAGAAATCCAACGATTTCCTGCTTTCTAGCTAATCTAAATCGCGCAGCACAGCGGATCTTTGGTAAACAGCTGATCAGTGTGTGTGTGTGTGGGAAATACCTTGACCTTTAGAGCCAACTGGTTTGCTCCCAGCTGATCTTCGGAGCTACCAATTCACCCAAACCAGCCCGAACCGGCAGAATCCCACCCCTGAGTAGCCTGGGACAAACTTATCTCAGCAAGAGGGGCAGGTTTTAAATCAGCCTAGTCTTTCTTTACCCTTCCTCAACACTCTGGATCTGAGAATGCATCATTTCCAGCAAATGACTGGAAAGGATGAGAATTGATTGCACTTTTTTTTTTTTTTTTTTTTGACTGAGTGAAGTAGAAAGGCAACATATTAAAATTACATGCTTGTGGTTTTCAGTTCCCAGAAAACCTAGAACTACGCCGCCTTCGGTCCGATCTAAGTATAGTATACAAAATCATACATTGCAGTGTCCTACCAGTCAATGAATACTTCAGCTTCAACCATAACAACACAAGAGCAAACAATAGATACAAACTCAAGGTTAATCGCACCAAACTTGATTGCAGGAAATACGACTTCAGCAACAGAGTGGTCAATGTTTGGAATACTCTACCTGACTCTGTGGTTT